GTTTTTCGGAGTTCCTCTTGGAAGGAGTTGATTTCCCCTAGTGGGCAGCAATCTGAGATTCTTCCCAGCTCCCAAGTACTCCTGCAGTTTATCCTTTAGATGTACCTCAGACAAACTCAGGACTATGCATGTGCATTTGGGCTCCACGCTTTCGTTGCATTCAAAACGTTCATGTCCCGGAACCCACCACAGCATTACGCTATTGTGGGCTCCCAGATGCTTCAAAAGAGTTTTACAGCTGTCCACAACCCTTGGTGCCGTTTTAAAAGAGTCCAAAGCCTGTAATACTGTCTGACTATTCGACATAATATTTATCCTGTCCCCATTTGTCCTTCTACGAATACATTCGCGAACACACATTTCGATTTCGAAGACTTGCTTCTGGAATATGGTTGGGCATGTGCCAATTGGCAGACCTTTCTGGAATCTGTTCCAAGTGCCCCTGCCCCAATACTACCCTTGCTGAATCATAGTATTATCGCTTCCCGATAGTCCCTTTCATGAATTCTGATCTTGTATGGTTTGTAAAAGGATAACCTCCTTGAGCTTGATAGCGGGATCATCCAGGAATGGCTTGAGAACCTCCAAATCACCCCCGAAGAACTCAAGTTTTCATGCGGATAATATTGGTCAGCCGTAAGGCGCTCCAGCAGACCACTTTTCCAATCAGAATAGACAAAAGTAGGAATGTCTGTAATGACACCCAGCGCACCCGTTTGAAAGTTTTGCATAGTCTCAAGTCTCCATCCGCAACAATCCCTAAATATATATATATATTAGGCTGGGTCGATTTTGTATGGGGGAAAATAAAAGGCATTTGACCGTATTGTAATAGTAATATTATGATGTCTTAGGTCTTAGCCAATTTTTATTGGCCACGAAAGATTAATTTAATACTTATCTTTAGCCCGCGCAATTGAACCAAAGTGTACGAATTTTGAAAATGAAATTCGGCTGGTAATATCTATGTAATGCGTTAATTGTTATAAGCAGGACGGTATATTAAATTAAGCGTTATTAAATTTAGTACCTCACGTTCATTTATCATTTTTCAATAAGTCTTAAAGTTTTTAAGATATTAAGATAAAACTTACAAAAACTATAATTTTCCCTCATGAATTTTCAATTCTTCATTACTTCAGCAACCAAGTAAAAAATACAAAAAGGTGAGACGATATTTATTTGCAAACGTTTTAATGTTCTCGGATGTTTATGTAATATTAAAAGGACCATGGACTTGGTCACGCCGAGTTGGTCAGTTTTCAAGATCCTGGTGAATGAAATCAAACATGTATTGTCAAAGATTAGGAATCGTTTGA